TACAGCTCCTCCAGGTCTGACAGACACAGACGGGTTTGCTTCTGGCTCCTTACCCCACAGTGCTGGTGTTTTCAGGATAACTGGTGGCTCTGGAGTGCTCTGTGTCCCTCTGCTGGGTCAGCAATGGCCATAAATCACTGTGCAACCACTACGGACATCCCCAACCCTGCTCGGTGCTGTCCCCAAGGGATGGCTGGGGACCCGAGGACAGCAGGGTGCACACCTCACATAAATAAGGGCAGCTCTGCGTCGCTGCGAGGAGTGAAGAGAAGTCTCTCTATATTGTTTGAGTAACAAACAGAGGAAATATCTGTAATCTCTCTTCCCCGCCACTCCTAGGGAACTATCTTGTTGCTTTTTCCTGTGGAGTCCTCTGCTGCTGTCCTGCCTGTGGGAACGGCTACCTAAAAGGATTATTTAAGCCTGAGCAGTTCTTCCATGGGGGCTTACAGGATTCCCCTTCTGGGGATCTGTCTTTCCTAGCAGGAGGAAAAAAAATGTAGTGATCTCCAGCTTGTGTCTGGTTGGCTGACCTGGCAGCTCCTCTCCTGCAAGAGCTCAGCTCGTAAAAAATGAATACATTATAATAATAATAGAAATAATATATATATATAAACACAAACAAATTAACCACCCCCTTGTCTAGACCCTAAACTGCGAAGTTCATCACGGCTTAACCTTAGTTACTAGCACCTTGTTCAAGAAATGAACAAATTCTTATTTAATAAATTGCACAGATGGGAGCAGAAGGAAAAGTCTTGTTGGGGTGGAGATGAGTACAGCAGCTTGAAACCGTGTTATTTGCATGGGGATGGGGGCAAGACTCTACAAAACACCGCTAAAAAGCCTTGTTTTGGGAGCCAGCCCTACAGACCATCTGCAGAGTAGATGAAGTCCTAGAAATAAGACATTATTGGCCCTAAGAGCTTGTGGCTGAGGCAGGAACCAGTGGCCATGGGTGCCAAACATATCAATGTTAAAGCTTCAAGGCAGCAGGGAGCAATCCCATACCCGTGCCCCGACAGAGGAGCCATTGGGTTATGTAGGTCTGAGTGAGACTTTGCTGTCACAGCTGTGCCAGACTCACTTAAATGCATCACCCCATAGCTGCAGGCAACCTAACCCTAACCCCTGCTTAAGGCATGGAGCCTGCAGGGCTGCCAAGCAGCTTCACTCCTCCTGGGGTAAGAGCCCAGTTCAGTTCCAGCCCATGCTGGAAGTTTCCCTCGAGTCGATTCCCCCCTTGCCATCTCTCCCAGCCAAGCTGCTTCATTGCATGTTCCTGTACCTTGCTATCTTGCTTTATTAATTTACATCCTTTTTAACTCTTAAACTCAGGCATTTTGTCATTTATGATAATTATGAATTCTTCCTTCTGCAGTGTCTTTACCTCTTGTATCCACAGCAATCACCAACTCCCTGCTTTTCCTTTAGTCAAAGCTATTACTGAAAAAATATATTTTTAAAAAGGGCCCCAATGGCTCACCTTTGAACTCCATTAGAAACTTTATTCCCATCCATCAGTTCCTCTCCCATCAAAACCCAGTGTGGTCTCCACCCATCCTCAGCTTGCTGCTTACTCACCTTTACAGTTTTCAACCGTACAGCTTTTTTTGGATATTACTGGGTAAATAAGGTGCCTGGCATGATGTCAGCAAATAGATCAGTGAGGTTCTGAAATAAAGGTTTCTTGCATTTCACTTTTCCAGTAAAAAAAACTGTTTTCTGGCAATGGGTGAGGGGAGGAGGTACGGGAGGAAAGCAGCCACGGCAGCTCCTGCTGGCAGGTAGCACACAACAGCTTTGAGCAACGACTGGACCCACAATGGGGTCATCCTGCTGGGTTTTCAACACCCACAGCGCATATTGAAGACCCAATAGAGCTGCCTTGAGACCCTGGTGCTTGAGAACCCCTCAGCCCCCCGTGGAGCCCACCTTCCCCCCCTTCAGGCCTGACATCGAGCTATGGGACAGCCGTCTATCCTATAGCCAGATATCCTCCCAAAGTCCTCGAGGGCTCAGGTCTGGACCCAGTGTGTCACTTGCTGGCTTGGTTGATGTGACGCCAGAGATTAGTCCGCTCCCCGCGGTGTGAGCACCACAGCTGCAGCTGCTGGGAAGAACTGCTCCAGGCTGTCTTGGCAAATATCTTGGCCGGTGAACGTTTCAAGGCTGACTTAATAACTCCGAGAAAACAAAAAACAAAAGCCACAACAATCGGCCAGCCATCGCTTGTTTGCAGGACGTGGGATGGGAGATGGGCAGCACAAGGGTTTTTGCTGCCTGCTAGGTGTGCACAGACTGGGCTGGTGGTGTGGCAGGTAGCCCCAGCTGGGGGTTCAGCAAATAAAACAACTGAAACAGCCAAAAATCAAAATATTATGAGGTTGCAGGCAGAGAAATTCATAGCCTAGCTCATCCAGTGCCACTGCCCTGATCTGAATTCAGCCTTATCTGTAACCTCGGTGATTTTTCATGAGCCAATTCCCATTTTATTGGTAAGGAAAATGATCATATCGTCCAATTCTTCAAATTCATCCTCCAATCCCTCCCTCTGAATGAGGGATTTGAAAGCCCTGCAGGTTTTATTGATGCCCATTATAAACGAACACAATGCCTATAAAACATGCTCTGTAGTTTCACATTTTCAACATCCCCACAGCACATCGGTGTTATGCAGAAGCACGATGTCTGTGTCTTTCTACTGCAAATTCAGACTTACTCTGGGGCCCCAGGTAAACTTTCCCACAAGGCTCTGTAGTCCCCAAAAGAGAAGAAAATACTAATGTGTGTCTGTCAAATGCAAGTAAAATGCTTGCCGGGGAGTGAAGTAATTTGTAGGGTCAGAAACCCCTTGCTAGAGGGAAGATGAAATTTAGGAAAGTCTTGCTGAATTTCTCAGGGCACTATTTTATTATTGTTATTATTATTATTTGTCATTTTCTCTGCATTTACGTGTTTCTGAGGGCTCCTAGGACAAAATAACTTTTCTAAATCTCTAGTCTTTTGTACTAAAAAGTCTTTCAGACAGAAGCTGAGCTGTATTTTCTCACTCCAGGTGGAAAGGATGCAGACACCAGGGTAGAAATTTATATTTTCTGTTTCCTTGGATGTTTTCCTTCCGGGGCTGGCTTTTAAGCATTGCATTAACGAAGCCCACTCCCAGGCAGAATTGCCTCACCAGCCTCATTTGTGTGCTGCAAGATAAGGGAACGAATTTGGCTGGTTGTCAGTTAATTAACGCACCGCTGATGAATTCGTGCCACCGGCAGCAGGGTGTTGGCGCTCTCCTGGGCACCTGCTGTCAACAGGAGGTGGAGGACAGAGAGTTTCTGTAACATCTGTGCTGCAGAGCAAGCAGCCCCTGGGGTCCCTGCAAACCTGCCAAGGGCAAGCACTGTTGCTGCTCCCAGATACCACTTGGCAATGGCTGTTTCTAAAGGAAAAAGAAAAAAAAAAAAAAAAGGAAAAAGAAAAAGAAAGAAAAATTAAAACAAAAAATGAAAATGGAAAAGAAAAACAAAAGAAGAAAATTAAAAACAAAAAAAAAGAAAAACAAAGAGAGAAAGGAAAAGGAAAAGGAAAAAAAATAGGAAAAGGAAAAGGAAAAAAATAAAAGGAAAAAAAAAAAAAGGAAAAGGAAATCCTAGGAAGTAATGTCTCCATCCAGGACAGGACAGCCTGCATGTACACCAGAGCTGTAATTATTCAGGTTGAACACTGTCAAGAGAATAACATTTTAATATTCTTCCCCCCCCCTTTTTTTTTTCTTTGTTTTCTTTTTTTTTCTTTTTTTTTTCTGTGAACAGATGACCAAAAAATCCATCAAGTGGAATTTGGAGTGCTCCCTTTCCTCCTTCCCCAGCTGCCACAGGGGGGTTGAAGATTTCAGATGGGGAAATAAATGAATGGATTTCTCCAGACCTCACTCCTTGTGCAATCCTTTCACTCTTCTGGGGTACCGAAATGAGCTCAGCCCAAGGGTCAGGGTGGGTTTCATTGAAAATAGGCAGCATCTCCCAGGGCTTGGCAGTACGAGCCCATTGGCAGTGGGAGATGCAGGACCTCACTGTGAGCAGATGTGGTTTTGGGGCAATCTCTTTCTGGCTGCGTGTTTTGGGGACGGAAAATCTTTTGTTTTGTCGTTGCTGAGCAGGAGGTAGATCTGCTTGCAGATGAGCAAAGAGAAAACACATGGAAGGGCAAGGAAATGTGAGCATGTCCAGAGGTTAATCTGAGCTCAGGTATAAAAGTAGCAATAAACTTGGTTTCTAGAAAACAAACATTAATTCATGAAATACACCCAAAGAGCATATTTTTGTACTGTTCTTTCTCCTTTACTTCTACCCAAGAAAGAAAGAATCAGAAGAAATATATGTTGGACATCCAGGAAAGCATCAGGCAAACCATGCTCATACAGTGGGGAATGCTGCCTGGGAAGCAGCGACCGAAAAGGATTTGGGGTTGATCCTTGAAGTCCCAATGCCCGATGTGATGTCCTGACCAAGAGATCTGGCAGGGCTTTGTACCAGGTGGGGCAGCTCAGGTAAGAAGGTGGGATCAGGCTGGCGACCTAGGGCTGCTTGATCATCTTCACTTCAAGAAGTGCAGGACTGGAAAGGGGGTTTTACAGATATATTGCTCTTTTTATTTTTTTTATTATTTATTTATTTTATAAAAAGCTCCTTCTCCTGATTTGCAGGCCAAGGACCACACACCAGCAGCTGGGACCAGAGGCAGGCAGTGGGTTGGGGCAGGAGAGGGGGCTCGAGGGTCCTTCTGAATTGGACACAGGTGTAACCCTGAAAATGAAGGGAATTCTCCTCTGGTGCAGGTCCTAATGGCAACCTCCAGGAACAGAGCTGGTGCTTCATGCAAGTCCAAGCAAGATCTTCCAGGTGTGTTGTCTTAGCCACTTCCCAAGCTGAGTGACGTCTCCACACATTAGCAATTCTCAGTTAATTTCTCCTCCGTTAATTTTTCCAGCTTCCCTGTGAGCCTACACCAACTCTCAGCACCTGCGTGACCCTGTGGCAAGGAGATAAATGGCTCAGATGTGAAGAGCCATCTCTATGTGATCCCCCGACATCAGCCTTCTCTGCACCTTCCCCAGGCATCCCAAGAGCTTCCTGGCAATGCCGTGGCTGTTTCAAGCCAGGTTTGTGTCTGCAATAGACCTGGCAATACAGGCAGAAAGCATCTCCATCACAAAAGTGGCCAGGGGTATCTGAGCACAGGTAAGAGCTGGGGTTATGGTGGCTGTGGGGTTGGATAGATCCCCAGCATCCCTTCTGCAGCCCCTGTTCATCTCCCAGCACACACGGCTGGCTGGCACCCAGCCTTTTTGGCTTGCTCAGCACCCTCTCTGCGGGGCTCTCCTCCTTCCTCAGCCTCCCAGAGGCAGGCTCAGCTGGAGCAGATTCACCATGCAGAGCATTATTGAGCCCAACAGTCGTGTTAGCTTTATCTGGAGTTACAAATTCCAAGAAAAAGCAGGGCCTATGGCTTCAGCGTTGGTGCAACATTAGTGCTGTGTTGCTAAACAGGAATTCAGCGGAGCCACAAGAAGGCTGAGAGAACAAAAACCCCGGGATTTCAGCAAGGGGTAAGTGTCTTGCTCTTGTGGGAAACAAGTGGCTTTGCTCTCTAATTTGTTTCACCCCCTAAGCTAGGTGAAAGACTGCATTACATCATGCAAGGCGGGGAATATTTCTGCAGGTCTCCTTCCACTCAGAAGATAATCCTCAGCCCCGTCTGGTCTGTTGTTTACTTTTAATCCCTCTTTAATGGAAGCTCTTCTGTAAAGAATTAAAAGCTAATTTTTTGAAGAAGGGATACGTAAGTGAACCCACACAAACCTTGCCCACCCCATTTGGGGCTGCTCAGGGCTCTGGGATGAACTGCTGTGTACCTTTCTGTACTGAATTGCTTTATTAACAATTTTCTCTTTGCTTTTCTGTCTCCTAAATGCATCTGCAGCCCTCGCTTCCGTGAGCTCTCTGCCAGGCTTGGAAATGCACCAGCTGTGATGAAGAACCCATGGAAGAGAGAGCAGGAGCTGGACAGGGGTTCCCAGCCTCAGTGTGGGACCAGGCACCATGGATGAGCGATGAAATGAGGCAGGACTGACAAGAAGACAGAGGTGAGGAGGTGGGAGGATGCTGTTACATTCGGGTAGGAAGATCTGGGGTTCGATGGAGGAGGAGAAGCCAAGAGAAGGGGGGCTGTCAGGGATCACAGCTAGTCAGCAACTCCCTTTAGCCCAGGGTCATCCGTAGTTCCAGCTCGTGGGCTCGTCGTGGAGGCAAACATCTGAAATTGTGCAATCCCCTCCTGTGCTGTCACACGTGTGGACAGGCTGATGAGCCTTGGGGAGGCAATCTGTCCTGCACAGCCAAACATGAGAATAAATCGGGCTGCAGCGTGTACCACGAGGCACCTGGCCATGCTTGGAAAGAGATCTTCAAAAGCTGCCCAGACATGGTCCTGGGCTACCTGCTCTGCGTGACCCTGCTTAAGGAGGGGTCTTGGACAAGATGACCTTCAGAGGTCCCTTTGAGGCCAACCACAAGCATTCTGTGATTCTGTAAAACCTGGAATTTAATAAAGCCCCCACCGCTCCTAAGATGGGACAGCTCTTCCACCGACAGGCATTTGGTGCCTCCACTGGTTTAGTTTCAGTTTATATCTAATAAAGCCTCTCGCCAAGGTTTTAACTGCATTGGAGAAGCCAACCCCAGGCACCAGAGAGAGATGAAGGGCAATTTCTGCCTATGGCAAGGAGGAAAGAGAAGACTTTTCAAGAGGAGGATGCGCAAGAGCCGAGCAATTTGGCCTCAATCTCTCCTCGGTTTGCATTATCGGGGTATCGATAGCAAGGCTAATAGCCCCATGGTTCCGGATTCGATGTGCAAGACTGTTTATAGTGTCTGCTGAGAGGCGGTTACTTTTACTCTCGTTGGCAAATCATTGTTTACGTCTCGTGTTTCGAAATGCAGCTGGGTTCCAGCCTTTCCTCACCAACTGGCGGAGCCGAGTGAATCCATGCCCATGTGCTGCTCTTTAGCAACACAAACAGCACAGCCAGATTCCACTTAGCGGGCTTTGCTAACCCTCCAAACACGCAAGGCTTGGCCACGAGCACGCCAGCTTGTTCCTGACGGCTCCTCGAGCCCAGAGCACAGCCACAGGAGTTAAGAGTGGTTGAGTGCTCGTGAAGTATCCCAAAATAAGAACGGGCTTGATTCTTGCATCGAAGTCGGGGTGTAATTTATCTTCCTGGCACCGTCAACTTCCCTTCCACTTGTGGTTCTGAAGGCATCTGTTGACTCTTGTGAAGTGTGCTTCATTCTGGCCTTCTCTCCACCTTTTCTGGGTCTATCAGCAATACCAGGTTGCTTTCGTCCAACCTGAAGACCGGTATGTTGAAAAAAAAGACCCTGAGAACACAAATAGGAGATCAAGTTATGAAGGTGGAGATGAAAGGCTATAGCCCTCAGAAGATCTACACAGATAATTGTGGTCAGCTCGGAGGGATCATGTTCATCCATTTTGAGCTGCACTAAATCAGAGAATCGCCACAGAATCAGAGATTATCCCAATCTGGAAGGAACCCACAAGGATCATGGATTCCAACTCCTGGTTCCACATGGGACCGCCCAAAAATCAAACCATAAGTACAAGAGCACTGTCCAAACACTCTTTGAACTCCAGCTGGCTTGGTGTTGAGACCACTTCCCTGGGGAGCCTAAAAATCTTGAGTGGTGCACCACAGCTTGAGTGGTGCCCTAAAGCCACTCTTGCTTGTTCCAGCTTGGGTGCATTCTCATTCCCCTTGAAGTTCAGTCCACAGTGATGGGAAGAAGGGACAAAATACATCATCCAGAGCTTTGGGAAGAAGGGACAAAGTACCAGTAGCTGTTATTGCTGGACTTCACGCACTCAAGTCCTGCACTGCCTAGATAAGCCCTAGGTGCTTTTTTGGGTTGGGAGATCTTCCTTGCAGAACTCCAACAGTGTCATCTCCATATGTGCATTGGGACTTATGGTCCAACCAATGCTGAAGATGTTATCTTTACGGTCTTTTATTCAGTTAAACTCCAAGGCTTAGACACGTTGGCAGTGAAGACCGAGCTGAGAGCAATGCCCTGTTTATTGGTGTGAACAGCAACTGAGGTGGGGGTGTGTAGAAACAAGAGGAATTGTAGTAGAGGTGTTACAATGATAAGTAAATGCTACGTTTTAGCCAAATAGACAAAGAAAAATCTGACAAACACGGGGCAACATTTGAATTTAAATGGAAGGAAATAAAGGTAAAAGAATAAATTTAGAAGAAGCAAGGGCAGAGCACTAAGGCAGACCAAATCCTCTTGTTTTGTCTTATACAGGTGGGAAATTTGAGATCTGGTGGCAATGCTTAGATCCAACTCCAAATAAACTGTATTTTGAGGACTGGAGCTGCCTAGGGAAGAATTTCTCTCTGCGGGGAGGCGAGAGGGCTCAGAGGAGAGGGAAGGGCCTGGGAGAAGCCTCTTCTTGTTTTGCAGTCTGGTCCCAGGTTCGGGCTGCTGATGGAGTGGCAAGGGGTGGCTGACTCATCAGGCTTTGTGCTGTTTCGCAGAAGCCGTGCAAAGCTCCTGACACCCTCTGATTTTGTGTTACATAAAGTAGATACACCCTAGTGCCAGATGTGCTATATCACATTCCTCTTTAACAGAATCCTTCGGCTCTCCAAACCATGTCATGTTTATGTAGACTCCCAAGCACCAATTATGCAATCTTTTCCCATTCTCTCTCGCCAACAAACATCCAATTAAAATGAGCAGTTGCCATGGTTTCCTCCTCACCAACCTAGGTAGTGATGAGATGAGAAGTTTGGATTTGTGAGAAAAAAAAAAAAAAGAAAAAAGTATTTTCTGGTTAGGAAATGTACTCATTAGGCTGATGGTCTTAAAATGTTCTGTTCAGCCCACTTGGTGTTTGGGTGTTTTAATGGCATTCATTTGTTGTTTTTTTGTTTGTTTGTTTGAGTACTCAAATCCATGGAAAGGGAAGAGCTTGGGAATGGTTTACTATGACAAATACATTGTTTTCAGAGTAAATTTAAGCAGCCAGAGACGAGGACTGGAGCTGGGGAATGTTTGCTGGAGTATAAGAACGTGCTGTTGGAAATAGCTCGTTGTTAGTAAAAGCTGGGTTTAATTGTAGTCTCTTAAAATCCCCAAATGTCATATAAAGAAAAGAGTTTTACAACAAAACATGTCTTTCAGAATGGAGCTGAAAATGAATGTGGAGCTTAGAAACAAATGGGAGTTGCCTGAACTGGGTAACAAACCCATCCTCCAGCGCATGCCTTTTGTCATGTCCCACCATCCTGCCGCTCAGGATCCCTTCACCATGGCAGGAAATTGGACTCAAAACCCTGGCTCCATGCAATACCGTAGGGATCAGACAACATAGCAAAACTAATTTCTCCCATTTTCCCCACAGGGAGAGCAAGAGGACACTGCAAGCAGGTCATAGCAGCTGCGGGGATGGGAAGAAGAAGGTGTCAGTGATTTGGTGAAGTGGAGCTTGGCTGTGGCTGTTGAGCCAGTGCAAAATTTCCCAAGCTGTGATGGAGACCAACAGCATGGTTCACAGCTCTCCAAGCCTTAGACCTTCCCTTCAAACAGAAGGGAAGGTACAGGGGTGAAAGGACTCATGGAAACATTACTAAGTCTGCAGAGAGTAGCAATTGACCATAAATAATTGCCAGCAAATCCATGATAATGATGGCTGACCATGCCAAGGAGAGAAGTTGGCTAGGCCCTGGAGATTTCATCTAGATAGATTAATCAGGTTTGGCTTCCTCTTTTTGCTTTCCCCCTCCGTGTTTAAGGAAGATGAAACAAAATGATTAGAGACACAGAAAGGAAGTAATACGATAACATTAAATGGAGACTATTCTTAAGAAATAGAAGAAAGAAAAAAATAATAATAAAAAACAAAGACAAGAGTATGTCCTGGTCAACATAAATCCATGAGCATCTCCTGGAGAAGCTGGCTCTTCTACAAGGTGTGCTGCGCCATTAAGAAGAGGTAATGGCTACTTCTATTGTAGTAAATAAAATAGGATGAAGAATGGGTTCAAAAACTGCCAAATGGCCATCAGAATGGTTTCATCTCCTCATGAGGTTTTGGTCTGGTTTGTGTCAATGAATGGTCCCTAACAAAGCCTGGGAATGCTGCAAGGGTACATGCCAGGTTTTCCCCAGTTTTCTAAACTACTGCCTGGCTTTCCCTTTCTCCCTCCAAAGGGAAAAGCTTTGCAGTGCCATTCCTCATCTGACACTTGTCATCAGGGTTTGACTTTGAGCGGTGAGTCTTCGGTTAACCTGCAAGATGCAGAATGATTCCTGGTGCAATCAGCCCGTGGCTGCTTCCTGAGTGTATTTATTATACATTATTATTATTATTATTATTTATTTCCTTCTGTGCTGGATTTTGCAGAAGGGAAACCTGGGCATGGAAACCAGAAAGGAGCTGTGCTGGGCTATCACAGGCGAGACCTCAGTGCCCAGCCCAACATGGGCACGGACCTGACACTTAATGGAGACTGTCTGATGAGACGGTGCTGTTATGCTCCAGGGGACCACTGCTGTGGGATCAAAACCTCACATTGCAATGATGCTGCCAGAACACTGCATTGATCCTCTGGTTTTATTTGGGTGCAGAGTAGAAAATGGCTTTCCTGATGTCTCAGGCTAGGGGAAAACCAAGAGCAACAGCTAGAAATCTGCACCCTAGCACATGAATCTGGGGCTGAGGAAGCTCCTCCAGAGGGCAAGGTATATCAGGGACTTCCAGGGGAAAGGGACTGGAGCTATCAGCAATCCCATTTCGATAGGCTCTCTGGTGAACTTGGCCCCTGCAGTTTCAGCTCATGAGATCATCCACTTCCCGAAGGTTAGGTTGGAACAACATTTCACCACTGATGGAAACCTCAAAGCAAAGCAAACCCACTGAAGCCATAATTATGTCTTTATTGTCCAGGGCCAAGCTGTGTGCGGCCTGGCAGCGTGCCTTTCATTCTGCAGAGACGATTACATTTATACTACATTACACATTGTGGGTTGGGGTTGGTAGTGCCGTTGTAATTCAGCGAGGGGCATCTCCATTCAGATCACTCGCTTGGCACTGCTCGCCACAGCTCTGTGAAGGCCATGTGTATGCAGATCCCATAAAGAAGGACTTTGTTGCCTTTCTCCCAAGCAAGTCCCTCCTGGCCACCACATGGGGTGATGTGAAAGGGCTTTGTGTTGCCTGTCAGCACCAACGCTCCAGCTGAGACTGAAAAGGGCATGGACGAGGTGGGTGCACACACAGAGACGAGGCAGCAGAGAGGGAGCGGTGCAGAGGTGGTTGATATTTAGGTGAGGAAGCCTGGAGCTGGGTCGTGTCTTGTGAAAAAGAAGTTTTGGAAGCGGTAAGGTGTATAGAGGAAGGTGGAGGAGCTGGAGGATGGAAGATGGATTTCCTGAGGAGAAAGACAGCCTGGTGGAGAGATTAAGGCCACGTGGGTGGTATGATGGCAGCAGGAGTGGAGATGGATGTGGGGTGTGAGCCAAGGACAGATGAGTGATTGGGATCGAGGTGAAGGGTTTTGGTGCACAGGCCCTCAGAAAAGAGGAGAGAGGCTGGATGAGAGATGCCTGTGGAGACTGCAGGGAAAGTGATGAAGAACAGGCAGGGCTGGGAGTTACAGGGGCTAAGATAACAGAGTGAGAAGAGGAGGGAGCCAGGGAATTGTATGGTTTTGACATGGTCAGCGTGGGATGGGATATGGGGAGAGCAGATGTGTTGCTGCAGAAACCCCATGAACGTGGTGCCTCCAGGCTCTCTCCCTCCTGCAGGACTGAGTGGAGTGGTCCTGCCCTTGTGGCATGGGGCTGTCCTTTCTGCTCCACTCTAGACCAGTTCCTCTGGCACCTGACAGGGCTTCCTACTATTCCTACCCTACTTCCATCCTCTCCTGAAGATTTCTCCAAAGCCAGGAGAATGCCAAGGGATTCTTGAATTTTTTGGCACCTACCTGCCCAAACCCATCCCTCACCCACCTGCCAGAACAGTGTGTGTTTCAAAACTCCAGAACAAGTAAATCCTTGGCTTTATTTATTTAGTTATTTATTTATTTTGGAAACCAGTTCAACAGCTCCTAGGACACTGATTTTTATGTTGACCAATGAGTGGTGATGGGTGTGACAAGGTACTGTAATTAGCCAAGGTTATTCGTGACCACAAAGAACTCCATCAACTTTGTGGGGTGGCAAAGGACCACCTTTCAGCGAGGGATCTGTGGTTTGCCGTGGCTGGAGGGAAAATCCAAGATTTGGTGAATTTGATGGGATTTGACAGTTCTTCTGTGTCTTGGTTCTGGTCAAGAGGTTGGTGGCAGTGGGTGGATCGCACAACGGCAGATGTTGGGCTGCTCTAGCAAGGGAGGGCTGACAAATTGGAACAGGCTTTGTGAGGGGAATTCGCAAGGTTTGGTGCCACGAACTGCTGGGCTGTGGACACGTGTCTGCCTCTATGCATTGAATAAATACTGGAATTCCAAAGTAAATGTTGACCTAAGCTAAGAATAGCACGTCAGCCCAATCCTCAGACACCAATGGCGAAGGGAAGGAGAACACCACACAAACCACACCGAATATTTAGAGTGGACGAGACCTCTGCTAATAACCACATATTATCGTGCCATTTCTGCAAAATGTGCTTCTTTCCCACAGCGCTGGCTGTGCCAACCTCCTGCCTCGGGAGGGATGAACAGAAGCTGAATCAACTCTATGGGGCAGCAGTAATCCACCAAAGTCCCCAGGCTCCTTGGTGCTTCTTGGCCTTATTTTGACTTCATGTCAGGAGACAGTGCCTTGTCCAGCTGAGTTTCTGAGGAAGATCTGGATATGCAGGTATGGAAAGAGATGAAGTACACTGTAATTCATCCTCTAGTGGGGTGTGTTAGGGGAAGGGCCTAGGATGTGCCCTAAAGGACACTTGGGACATGGCTGGGACATGCTTCTACCTTGTAACGTTGCCAGTATTTCTATGAGTCCATGTCCTGTTGTGAACCACAAGGTCCAAGTCATGGCAGCAGTGATGGAAAGCAACAGATGACTTGATGTAATCTAAAGGTGGAAGACCTAAATCAACTGAAAGGAAAGATAGGCATTGTAGTGTGTTGTTTCAGGATATACCTGAGCTGAGGAGAAAACACCCACTGCAAAATCCTCAGAATAACTCAGTTTGAGGCAAAAGCCAGGGAGAGTTTCCTGGTGGAAGTCCCACGCTATTCTTTATAAGATATCTAGGTCTTCCTGGAGGCCTTTCCAACCAGTCCTGGAGGAAAGGTAAAGAATGAAGCAGCCTGACTGCTCCAGGCCATTCCACATCACCTAATCCATGGGCAAGCACCCTTCCCATCCCCAGCTCTGCCTGCCATGGCAGGGAGGCCTCTCTGGTAAGAAAAATGCTTTATGCAACACAAATTCATTTTGTCACATTAAGGGCAGACTATTTCTGAGTATCTTGGCTCTTCCACATTTAAGGAAAAGATAGATTAGCATCCTGAGTTGCCATGGTAAATAATACAGCAGCACCTTTGCGTAATGCCACTCTGCAAATACTTTAATATTGAAGGACTGTAATTTTGCTTTGGAGCCTGGAAAATAGATTCTGAGACCAACCGAACAGTAGCTGATGAAACTAATTTTGCAGCGGTCTCTTAAGCATCCCCTAACCCAGCCAGTGAGGCACAAACCAGAAAAATAAGAAACCTTATACTTTGATTTTTTTAAAAAGTATCTTGAAGCAGAAATTGGATTCAAGATGTGCTATCAATGCACTTACTGGGGATGTGGGTTTGCTAGTGATTAATGGCAGGAATGTCTTCAGTATAGATCCCCATTATTTATTAAGTATTGACAGCGTGTTTCAAGCAGCAAATGGCAGAGAAGTTCTAGTTCTTAGTGCAGTTGTTTCAATATCTCCTAGGAGGGATGATGCTTTTTTTTGAAAAAAGGAGTGATGCTGTCCCACTAAGACTCAGTTCAGCTGAAACTGTATGTTCTCCAACCTGAATTCAGGCTGTGTGAATAAGAAAGTGCTAGGGACAGCAGAAAGCCCTCAAAAGTTTCATCCTGAAGAGGCAATCCATTTTCCTTTCAGCTGGAACCAGTTTGCATCATCAGAACTGGAAGTGATAGCAGGGGAGGAGAAGAAGAGGACACCATCTGCACAAGGCTATAGGACAGTAGGATATGTTTTGGGTTGCTATCTCTGATCTGGTAGAAAGAGAAAACGTTTGGGAAGGCAGAGAGGAAGGGAGTATCTGACTCTTCTCAGGACCAAGCAGAATTAGTCACTGCAGAGCTGGACTGAAGTTTCCTAGCACCCTTTACACCATGGAGAAGACCAGCCTCAGCTGGATCCTCAAGCTATGTTCTGGACTAAGTAAGGACCATAAATGCACTGGAAGGAATGGACCTGGTCTTTGCCAAAGATATCGGTCAGTCAACCAGCAGGCTGAAATGGTGGGTTATATTCATATTCACTGGGCAGCATTAACAAAGGGAAATTCATGAAACCTTCATGAATTGGATTAGACTCTTTGGAATGTTTATGTTGGGGAACTGAATATCCCAGCCCCAAAGCCCAATGCATTTGCATCTTGTCCCATTTTCCTCATGCTCAGGCATGAGCTGGAGTCTGAGAAGGGTGCACAGACACCCTCCTGAAACAAGAAAGTTCCTCTCCTGAATCCTGGTGATGATAAAATATGACAAATTTTTTCCCTTGACACAACACCAGTGGTGGGTCTCAGAACAGCATGCTGGGACACCAGTTTCTCCATGAGATTTCTCATTCATTCATGGGGCCAAAATATGTAGTGTGCTTTAACCACCAGGCAGGCTTGTGCTGTTGAAGTTTCATTCCTCCCTGTGGTTTTGGTGGCTGAGGAAGCTGGAAAACAGGATTACTAGATATTCTACACAGCTCCACATCTTCCTCATCTTTTTCTGCATCAATCCTTTCCTTCAAGAAAGCATCACCACCACGCAGAGACACCAGTCCTCTTACAGACCTCAGAACTGTCCAGAGACGGATCAGAAACAGGGACTTCAGTGGTGCCTGGAGCACTTGTGTCACGGAGAAGACCTCATCTGTACACCTTGGGTGAAGACTTCACTTTAAGAGAATGAATTTATTTCTTCCTGAGCATCTTGTTGAATTTCCATATAACAGTATGACCCTTTGAAGGTGTTGACCTGTTGTTAGATTGTACTTTAATGAGTTAATCCTCAGTCTCCAGAAAACTGGGTTGGACTCTCCATGTTGTTAGGGCCATCTTCTGTGATGTGAGAGTCCACATCCCTTTAAAAGCATCCGGGCTGCTTATCAGCACCTTTCCTCCTGCAGAGGAACACTTTCCAAGAAAAGGGCACGGCCATAAAGCTGGGTGTTTGGGTCAGGAAGGGTCCTGGGGGAAGAAACAGAAAGCTTCCAGCCACCCTTTCACAAGAGCACCCTCTGAGATGCTCTTCTGTCCCTCAGCTTCTGCCATCACATGCAATATATTTCATGGCTTGGCCTTGATGATGTTGCTCATGTCCTACAGAAATGTGTTCCTCTTCTTCTCTCGGAGGAGCAGACTGCTCTCTGGGTTGTGGCTTGCACAAAAAATCTCTCTGAGATTTCTCTAGTTGGCAAGACCTTCTCTCCTCCTGCAGCCCTCATCCCATTTACTTCAAAGCCATCCCTCCAAGGTGAAATATGTCGAGAAGAGACGGCTGTCGCAGCTGCAGATAGCAACCCAGCAGCTTACAGGGGACATTTGCTGCAGGGACGGCTTTTAGGGCAGGTTTTCATTATGTGGAAAGTGTGTATCCGAGCCGTCCTGCAGGGTGGCGTGGTGCCTGTATTTACAGTGCTGGCAGCTTTCAATAGCAATCTATTTTTAATGAAACCAAGCTGGAATGTGGTGCCTAAACCCTTGATTTAAGGCAGATTTCTAAAGGGAAGATTTACGCAAATTTGCTTGATTGGAAATTAATTATTGCAACAGTCAAGTTCAGCTCAAATGATCTTGCAGAGA